TTAGTTTCTTGATTAAATCTGACTTTGAATTTTATCTCAAATTTTCAAACTTAACCAAAAATAATAATAATAATAATAAAATTCTTATTTGGAATCTAAGGTTTCTTGCTAACTGGTGACTGGTGAGGATGAGGCTTAAAGTCCCTTGACTAATGGAAACACAATGAAGGAATGGAGTGATGATGGCAGTGGTACCTGGAGGCCAAAACACAGATTTGATAAAGAGTAAAAGATTGTGTCTTTCACGACATGGAGGTAATTTTATTATACTGTACCTACAAATAATTAACTGTTTTTAGAAAATAATTTTTTCTTTCTTTATAGGGCACCTATGTTCATGCAAACATTCCTAAAAGACCTTGGTATTTTAGCATCTGAATTAAAGGCCAAGTATCTCAAGGTAATTTTCTTTTTATTGTTTCTTTTATAGTTTCAATATTTCTACTTTTACTAAGGACTTTTTTTTTACAGGGAAATGGTTGTCCTACATTCAAGTTTGGAGGATTGCGGGGGATGACTATGCAACAGATGTCTGAATGTGATGAAAATGACTGTGAAGCATTGGAATACATTCATAAGGATTTACAGACATAGAAAGTTGAGGTAAGCAGTGAAAAAAATAAATTAACAGCAATTTATTACCACTTACAAATATAAACTCTGCATTAAATAACTTGAAAATTTGTTTTTTTTTTTGTTTTTTTTTTTACTGTGTATAGTCTTAAGAAGCACAGAACTATGTGGTGTAAAACATTCTACAAGAAGCAAGTCTATAGAGTATTCAAGCTTCTTGCCATTAGTTCACTCACAGTTTGGACCTACTGTGGTTATGATTTTTACTCAAATTCTCTATGATCTATTGTATAATCTATTTAGGCTCAGTTCTATTAAAAGAAGACATTGCATATACCAAAACCTTCTAAATTCCTGTATTCATAGTTTTTTTTTTTTTTTTTTAATTCGAGTGTATTTAATTCCAGTATAAATGTTACTTTTTTGAGAAAACATATCTAACTATTTTGCATGTTTGATCCCAAAAATAAAAGAAAACATACTAATATAACTAAGTTACAAATTACAACCAAAGAACATATATAAGATCTGTACCTAATGCCTAGCTTATATGCTTAGTTTATATGTAATTGAGACATACCTGGAAATTAGATTTCTTCTTAGAGTGTGTTACTGTTGAGTACACATATGCTGAGTTTTAAATGTTTTTACCCCACTGAATGGTTTAAGATATACCTGTAATGATAAACATATTAATCCAGCTAATATTCACTTTTATAAGCTATACACCTGTAATGAGGTAAATAGAATTGCATATACAAGTCCGAATTACAAAAGGCTTTCAGTTTCAAGCAACGAAGTCAGAAGGTGATAATGCACGGCAAACAGCCATGAAGAAGTTTAAGGGATCAGTTACCATACCGGATTCAAGAACTTCAATCCTTCAATTAGTTTTGACTTGCGTCCTGCAGGAGAAACAAACTGTAAGTAAATGACAATGCCATCAGCATATTTATTCAAAATTTCATCATCTTTCTTTGAAATTGATTTTACTAATGTATGATTACATGTTTTAAATTTATTTAGGATTTATTTCTCTGCAAGTTAGTCAGTGTTCTGATGTGTATTTGTAGTACTTATTTTAAAAATTTTGTGTATAATTATCTAATTGATTATATTTTCGTTATTATCATGATTTTAGTGGATATATCACTTTTTTTGTTTGATCTGGTCATCCCTCCTTTACTGTACTGTGGATGGATTATGCGTTTAAGATCAAAATTTTTTATTGATAATAATCAGTCTCATCATTAATGTTGAAATTGCAGTTAAATTTCGAGTTCAATAAAATGTTAAGCCAAATTGCAGCAAATTGACACTATCTGTTCAAAAAGAAATTCACTTTGATTGCAAAAATTGGAATCAAATGCTAAATATGACTAAAACAAATCAAATACATCAAAGTGTAAGAGTTGAAAACTAATAAATCAAAGCAAGCATCAAAAACTTAACAAACTGCCCGATTGCATTCTGCTGCAAAACTGTTAATTCATTTCCAACACTGATAAGTGTTAAACTAACATGCATTACAAAATATGCAATGAAATGACCAAAAAATAGCATAAACAAAAAGAAAGTAAAAAATAAGCAGCTGTACTTATCTGTTAGGGTTTTCTTCTTCGCGAATTTAGTGTAGAATGTCGGAGAGTGATGTTGAGATAGATAAATTACTTATCTCTAACACCGCGATAAAGATATTTAGAGCCAAATGGGTAAACAATCTGAGATTACAGGTTGTATTTTAGAGTTTCGGACAAAGATCTTGAAAATGGGATTATAGGGCGAGAGAGAGAGGAGAAGAATGCTAATGGGATTACAACCAAAAATTGAGCGTTCTACCACCAAAAATTGGTCGGAAAGCATGGATTACAGATTACAAATTGGAGTGTACACATTCGGACAAATATCTTCAAGGCTGGAGTACAGAGAGAGGGGAAGAAGGCGAGGGTTGCAAATGACGACAACTACGGCTTTTATATTCCATATATTTGGTTCGGGTCGCAGCTCTTCATTTGGGTCAGGCTATTGGGTCGCGATTTTGGGCCTGAATATGTTGTTGTTTTTTGGGCTTTAATCTAATATATATATATATATATATATATATATATATATATATATATATATATATATATATATATATATATATATATATAAAAGCCTTATTGTAAATATATATTGTTGGACAGTTTTTTTTTTTTTTTTACTTACAAATTTAAGTTCTGTATTGGTCTAATTACTTATGTTATGTGGACTATAGTTTTAAATTTACTAAAAATGTATTATTTTTTAATATAAATAAATACAATAATAAACTTTTATTATGGCAATAATGTAAATTGAGTATATTAATAGTGTATATTTTATTCATGGTTCACAAATATATGTATCTTTAGTTAATGTAATAATGATTAACTTTTATAAGATCATGCTAAATTATTATTTCTTAATAATTTTAGTTATATATGTTTTGTATTAAGATTATAATTAAAAGTATGTAAAATAATCCTTCTACCATTTTCTCGCATAAACTTTCGTAGTAAAGCTTATTTGGTAAATAAATGTCAAATTGAAATTAATTTACAAAGAAATATTTTATAATGTGTAATTGTTTTGTTTATGGAACGCCATTAAATTATATTTTGTCTATTTATTACATCTAAAACCTTATTGGTCCTATATCTTTAATATAACAATCTTTATATATTGCATCATAATATCATGGCCGTGCAACGCACAGAGACAACTACTAGTTAGGTGGTAATGTTCCTAATGTTAATCCTTTACTTGCAACCATGGAAGACTAAAAAGAAATTAAAATGCAGTAAAAGATTTAAAAGTAATGAAAGATGTTAGTATAAGCCTTTGTCTACAGTGTTGAAAATTTTACATTTCTATATATTCTCTTGATATTCATATACATGAATTCCCACTTCAAGTACATGAAACTTATAAATTAAAGAATATATACTATATTTATTACAAATGTGTGAGTAGAGTATTTTATGATAGATTGATAGTGTGCATTAGCTAAGTTTAATAAGAGATAACTCTATTTTTGCAGGTCTTAAAGCTTATCATAAAATGAAATTAAAAAATGCTTAGGATAAATAATTTGTAAAGGTATGTTTTATATAAATATTAACTGGTTGAATCTGGTAAAAAAACTAAACAGCAGGTCATTAATTTTTCAAGCATGAACTTATGTTTTTGTCTTTTATTACTCATGTTTAGCTTGTCATTAATTTTTTTTACTATTGAATCATTTATCTGTTCTCCAGAAACCATACTAACTAAACTATTATTGCAAATAATGATTTTACAGTTTGATGCAACATTTTTTACTATTGAATCATTTACATAGTCCTCAATTCTAGACCCCATCACATTTTATATCCCATCCTGGCATCCTCTCAATATTACATCCTAACTTCTTAAATTGTCTGCCTTTTCCCACTTTAAACCACATTTCTCTAGCATTTTCACCCCAACCCCCTAAGCTCTATGCCTTGTCCCACTTCGAACCCATCTCTCAAGTCTTTGTACTCCAACCCCTTAACTTATGTCCTAATTTGATCCCCATAACGCCCACAAGCTCCAACCACTCTCTGAACTTAACTAATTCCTAGACTTCGAATCCCTCGGCCCAATTAACTTTGGACCCATCATCAGTGAGTTATAAACTTAAACGTTGGTTCTAAAATTAGAGCTCTAAAAGAATATATATATATCTCTCTCATCTCTCATTTCATGTGAAGACAGAAGAGAATACAACTATACAAGAAATCAACTCAAATATTCATATAGATTTTTTTTTTTTTTAAATCTCCTAAAAAAGGCTGTTACAAGAGTTTAAATAGTCTATAAAATTAAAGTTAAATTTACATATTAAAGACCTCAATTCCTTCTAATTGCTAAACAAAAACAAAAGCATTAATTAAAAATATAGAAAAAGTTCTTTTTTTTTTTTTTTTTTTTTTTTTTTTGAAAATAGAAAAAGTTCTATTTGATTCAAAGTAAACATAATTTACATGGACCTTTATTCTATAATATTTACTAATTGCATATTATGTCTTTAAACCATCATAAACATCTTGGTCTAGTACCAAATGGTTTCAATCCATAGATATGCATAAAGGCCCATGAAGGTGAAGTTATTGGTTTTGGATTAGTTATCATAGCTTGGTGCATGCTAGTGTAGGGGCAATGCGAGGTTATGTCCCTTGCCTCATTGTCTTTCTTACGTAGCGGTATGAATCAAATAATCAATTATCAAAGACTAATAATATGTTATTTCAATTCTTTTTTTTTTTTTAAATTATAAAATTTTTTATTCTTTATTTTTGTTTTCCAAATGTACAAGTAAACGTAATTTTCATTTTTAAATTTCTCTATAAAAAAAATAGAGAATATTTTCAGTCAAGAAACGTTTTGATACACAAATTGGATTTGTATTGCATTGATTGGTTATAATATAAAGAAAAAGTGGAAAAGTAAGATTCTATTATCTATTATTCAATATTGGTGAATTGGATGATTTTTTATTTTTTGTTTTCTATATTTCTCCAAATATATATGATAGTTTTGAATTTGGCCAACGAGGGACCCTTGTTACTAATAAAAAAAAAAAAAAAAGCTCTCTTAATGGCATTCACATCCTGTCAGCCTGTTTTAAATCTTCCTCAGCCAGTCCTTAAACCCTACTCTGAGCGAAGCCCCCATTCCGGTGTGTTCATACCACCCAGAAAATGGCGTCAAGACTATCAGAAACAGTTCCTAAGTTCACTGCCGAAGCTCTCCGTGCGGCCGCAAAGCAATCTGACGCTTGCCGTGTAGTTCCTCTCAGGCTTCGTCAAGCTATCAAAAAATACATCCAAGGTAAAAGAGAAAAAAACACAAACTCTCTCCTTTAGTTATCTATTTAAATGCACGTCTGTGTGTGCTAGCTCGAGTATTGAAATTCACTATTGTTGCAGAACAAGAGGACCCACATATGAAGAGAAAGGTGTTGAGGTTATCCGAGTCATTCAGGCACATAAAGGAGGCAAATCTGCTGCTCCCAATTACTACGTCGAAAGAGATTGTGGAAGATCCTCTAAAGTCCGTGGAATGCTCCAAGCGATGGAAGATCCAGAGTGCATATGGTGATATTGGTATCAGGTATCAAGAGGATGAGGCTATAGCTTACGTGGCTTCTCGTATGCCTGCTGTTTACTCTGCTTTATATAGAGTCCTCAGTGAGGTAAAGTAGTTCTAACATTTCATGGAAATATAATAAGAAGTTATTATTTATTAATCAATTTTGATGTGAGATTGGATTTCAGCTTACAGTCTGGAGCAAACTGTTATGTTAGTGATTTTGTGAACTTGCTATCATTTTCTAGGTTAGGAGAAGAGTACCTGATTTTTCTCCGGCTAAGGTTTTGGATTTTGGTGCAGGGACTGGTTCTGCATTCTGGTGAGAAGATAATGGATTTTTGTTGTAATAGTTTGATTGTTGATGTTATTTCTAATTCTTAACATTTTAGCTTGGGAATGCTGAATTGATTGCTTTTTCAGGGCAATGAGAGAAGTGTGGCCAAGGTCCTTGCAGAAGGTTAATTTGGTAGAGCCATCACAATCTATGCAACGTGCAGGGCAGGGTCTTACAAGAGGTAATATTTGTGTTATGTTGGTATGTTTATTTGATGCAGAAGAGTTGACACTCTTAGAGACACTGTATCTTAGGCTTGATGATTATGCTCCAAATAAGTGATCAGCTCACATGGACTGATTTGATGTTCTCTTTCCCGACTCTTTCAATAACTGAGTAAAGTAAAATATTATCTTGCTATGCAGCCGTGCATACATGTATTTCTTATGCAAAAGATGGTTATAATAACTTCTACAGATGCAATAGTATAACAAAGTCTGAAGGAAGTTGGAATTTGAATAAAATCAAAGGGAGCTTTCTCTTCCTCCAGCCTGTCTTTTCGTTCCTCTCTTCTTACACCATAGGGAGATCAACATCTTCTTCTTCCATTAGCCACAGACCTGTGACGCGAAACCAAACATCAAACTCATATCAGAAACTTAATATAGTGAAAACAATCAGCTTGCAAATCAAGTTTACCTGTGTTCTAGCTGATGACTTGTTAAATCTGAATCGAGTATTCTGTCTGCAATTGTCTAGGAAAACCTCTCATTCTCACACACTTTGTATACCTCTTACATTTGAAGAAGCAGATAAAAAGATGTTACCTCATGTGCCTGTTTCTCATCATGTGTGAAGAAAATTTTAGACTATCTAACAACCTAATTTGTAAATGTTTCAAGTGAACCTATCTTCTTCTAAGAAACTTAATATAGTGAACTAACAATCAGCTGGAAAATCAAGTTTACATGTGTTCTAGATGATGTCTTGTTAAATCTAAATCGAGTACTCTGTCTGCAGTTGTCTGGGTTAACTTCTACTTCTCAGACACTTAAGAGTTATTTATTTATTTACTTAATATAACTCACACACTTATAGTGTGTGTGTGTGTGTGTATGATCTATCTTTTCTTTACCGCTCATAAGGGATCTAAGCTTGATCACTTATAGTGAAAACAAATATTGCAGGTCTAAAAAATTTGCCACTTATTCATAGCTACAGCAGTCTCCAGGCATTAAGTCAGAATATTAAGAAGTCTAATAGACAACATGATCTTGTAATTGCTGTAAGTAACATCTTTAGTATCCTTCTATGGTTTAACATCTCATTGAAATCAAATTTCAGATTCATTCAGATTTATTTTGACTTTTTGTTGACCTCTGCTTTGTGGAAATTGGCATTGAAAATTATTCTGGGTGCAGTCATATGTGCTAGGTGAAATACCATCCTTGAAAGACAGAATCACTGTTGTCCGCCAACTTTGGGATCTTACAGGAGATATTCTGGTATTTGTTCATAATCAATTTCTTGTCAAAAGATTAAGGGAAAAAAAGAATATAAATGCTAAAATCTTTCTTGCTATGCTAATTTTAACTATGTAATGTGGTGCAGGTCTTAGTTGAACCAGGAACACCACAAGGATCTAATATCATATCTCAAGTTCGATCTCATATTTTATGGATGGAAAGAAGGGTAGGCTAATTCTGTTTTTTATTTCCTTTTTTTTTTTTTGTTTTTTTGTTTTTTTTTTTTTGTTTTTTTTTTTTTTTTCTCATTCCAAATAGGTGGTGGGGGGAGGGAGTAGTATTGAAATTTCTACATTACACTCTAAACTGTTTGTTACATTTTGACTGATGAATGCCTCTAGAGATGCCGCAAACTAAAAGAGGCATCTGACAAATCTTGCAAGGCTTTGACAACACGCAAAGGTGGTGCATTTATTGTAGCTCCTGTAAGTCTTGGGAGTACTTTCAACACTCGCCTAACTTTACATGAGTGAAGGTTAATCTGATTGACCTGTTGTGCTATTTTCAGTGTCCACATGATGGACCTTGTCCATTGGAAAAATCAGGAAAATATTGTCATTTTGTTCAACGGTTGGAGAGGACTACATCACAGCGTGCCTATAAGGTCTTTCTTAAACCTATGTTTCACCTTGTCTTCACTTTCTCTCTGTTTGATGAGTTTTCTATTAGCTTCTGTTATAAACCTTTTCAAAAGAAATACTCGGTGATAATTTATGAAAGCATTAAAAAAATTGTACAGACATGAAGTTGTGTCAAAATTGGTTTGATGCTAGTAGTGGCATAGTTTGAACTTGTAAGGGTTTAAGTTTTTACTCATTTACTTTCTCTTTTGATGTTCAGGTATTTGTTTACCATGTCATTTTTCCTTTACCTTCTGAAGAATACATTACTCTGTCTTTTTATAAATTTGTCTCAACTTCTTTGGCTTACCTCTATTATAGCGGTCCAATGGTGGGTCTCTGCGTGGATTTGAAGATGAGAAATTTTCTTATGTTGTTTTTAGACGAGGACAACGACCGAGGCAAGTACTTGTTCAAATGTATATTACTCTGTTTATTTATAGTATCTGAACTGTTTTAGAATCTGGAGCCTTGTACTTCAAGTCTGAATTTTTCTGTCATTACTGCTAGTCCTGCAATTGTTGAAACGACGTAATATTGTTTTTTGAATTGTATTGCATTTCAGCTTCAATTGGTTTAGTACACAGACATTTTTGGGTTTATAGGCAATTAGCTGTGTCAGAATGTTCATGATAGATGCACAGTACTCAAGTTTAGATTTTATATGTTCCCTACTGAGATGAAACATCTTTGTTAATATTTACATGTTTATATCACAGTATATTTAACTTGTGATACATTTTATATCGTCTCATTGTTTATTTCAAGTAGAGAAACTTGGCCGCTTGATGGTATGAAGTTTGAAACGTTGAAGGAACAACATGCAAGAAGAAATCCAGAGGATCTTGAGATTGACTATGGTATGTTTCTTGAGTATTGATTAATATAAAAAAATAATCAGTATTGAGTCTCTCGTTTGGTCTTGGAGAAGCAGCTTTATGGTCTCTTAATTATTTTTTCTAATTGACTTCTCTTTATATGATTGCAGAGGACCAATTCCCTTCAGAAAATGAAGATGTCCTAAATGAAGAGGAAATCATTTCCTATAATTCTGACGATACAGAGGCAGATACTGTCACAGATAATGAGGAATTGGAGGATGAACAGGAAGAAACAGGCGCCACCGCTGCAGATCTTGGTACTGGCTGGGGAAGAATCGTTTATTCTCCTATCCGCAGGGGCAAACGTATTGAAATGGACGTGTGTCGAGCAAGCGATCATGAAGGCACAAAAGGTTCTTTTGATCGGATTATTATTACAAAGAGCAAGAACCCGACATTGCATCATCATGCTCGAAGATCCCTTTGGGGAGACCTGTGGCCATTTTGAACTACAATGACAACTTCAAAATTTTGTTATTCTTTAAAAATTTTTTACATAAAATTTTCTATAAGTTATGTGTGGATGTGACATATCAGTTGAATGTAATATTATATTGGTCATGAACAGAAATGAAGAAATTTTGTACATAAACATCAGAAGCCTCATGACACTTTCTTTACAAACACACCAAAGAAACTCGAAGCTGCAGCTTCCAAACATGGTGGGAAATGAAATTCATATCTGCAACATGTTAGGTGGTAATGAGGTATGACTTTTTGATTATTTTATATTTACTCAAATAAAAATTGAGGAAAAAGGTCCAAATTGAACTATTAGACCATACTCCTTTTTTATTACATAAAGGCCCTGACTATTTTGCATTTCAGATTTTTGGCCCATTGCAAGTTCTCTGTATAATCCCCTACTGTCGAGATTTTTTTATTTGTGGCACTTGAATAAGGCAATTTATATCGTGGATCAAGGTCCATATAGCATTGTGGATCTTGGATCAAAACGATGTTGTTTTGATATTTAAGCTTTAACAGCTTATGTAGTTTCTTGTTTTTCATTTCATGTTTCAACATAAATTTTAATTTATTCTAGGTACAAAATTAATACTCTTAAGGTACATGATGTGGTAAATTTTGCTGGGTGTACATGTTTGTATTTTGTAATGAGTATATTGATCGCTGAAACAATTTGGATGTAGTGGCTCGGATAGCTGGGACCGGAGGTTGGACGTTCTCGAGCTTAGGTCGGATCGTGGGCGCATCCCTCTTTAGTCTGCTTGTTGGTTTAAGGCTTAAGCTCAGATAAGAACGTGTGGGCGGAGGTTCCAAAACTAATAAGTATTCTAGAGAGAGAGAGAGAGATAGAGACAATAACCCTTTCTACAAGCATCTAACGAGGTATTTATAAGAGAATGGAGAGGACAGATGCGGGTGGTTGGCATGTACGCTACATGTCCTCCATGTAGTTGGCGGGGTCTCGGTGGCTAAGGAGAAGGCGTCCACGCGTCAAAGGATATTTGATTGACCAATGACTCTTAGGCTTGGCTAAGTGTCTATGTCGAGGTTCGCCTCTAGGGGCTAAGTAATGGGCTTGATTCGAGTGTTATAGCCCATGGACACTTTTAGGGGCTTATCTCATGAGCTTGGAGCCATAGTCGAGCAGTTAGGCCGCGACCGAGCATGAAGGAGCAAGAGTCGAAGCTCAACAAGCATATAAGAGGCATAATCGCCCGCTTGGTCAGGCTAGTTAGATGCTCTTCACGGATCGGATCAGATCGGGAACGAACCTCTCCCAACTGTAGTGTCGTATTCGAGTAGGTGTTCAGTACCTACGGGCCAGTATGTCGGGGTATATTTCCTATTAGTATAGAATTTTTTGACACGAGACACAAAAACTCACAATACAAGATACATACACATGTTATATATTTACTTATTTTCAAATCTGATTGATGTAGATAATTTGTCCTATAAGCACATAATTATCTATTTCAGGTACATAATCCATACACTTAATGTACCGAATTGCATAACATGAGACAAAGAAACACATAATACAAGACACATACACATGTTTTATATTTATTTTAGTTCAGGTACAAAATCAATTAATCAATATTCTTAAAGTACAAAATTGCATAGAATAAGACACAAAAATGCATTACACAATATACAAAAAAGCATAGCACAAGATACAAACACGCATGTTATATTTACTTTATTTCAGGTACAAAAAATTCATATGTTTAAGGTACAAAATTGCATAACACACCAGGATACCCGGTATAACTATTGCGGGAATAATTAGGTACATCCTCTCTGTTCTGTTTTTGTGTTTTATTATGGACGTTGGTATGATTAATTAAAGATGATGGTGATATTTTAAAGAGGAAAAATAAGACAACGTGTTTGTACTAGCTAGCAGTCAGCAGTGTAGCACTACCAGCCAGTGATTCGACCACGTTCCTAATCTATTATTCTTTTTTCATTCTTCAATCGACGTATGTATCTATGGTTCTGAGCGTGTATCATTAGCGCATCTAATCTTTGGCCACCGGAGCGGAGGTCCACTGCTATATATATATATATATATATATATATAATACTTTTCCTCTCAATAATTTATTCATGAGATGTAAAAGAAGGATGGTGGGGCTGCCTGCCTTCCTTGCATTTTCCTAAATTCCTAACATTAAAACAAAGGAGCAAGTAGTGATAATCAATGACAACAATTGAGGGAACCTTTGAATTTCCTAGTATTAGTAGTTGTCTGTCATTAGCTAAAATACAGTGCCACTATAGGGGGCATTATATTTTCGGCAACGGTCAAAACGACGTCGTTGAATTTTATGAATTAGAATAATGTACATTATGAGTTAAAATAATGTATTTTATGTGTTAGAATAATATACATTATATATTAGAATAATGAAACTTTTGGGGTAAGATAATATGCTTTATGATTTAGAATAGTGTACATTATGCTTTAGAATAATGTATATTATAAATTATAAAAATGTATATTGCATTAGGTCATGTGAAAAAAAATAAATAAATAAATACTCAAAACGATATCGTTTTTTTTTTTTTTTTTTTACCGTGGTCGATACAGATGTGGATCCAAGCAAAAACTATTGTTAATTTCGGCAGAAAGGTTAAAGAAGTTGGTGAAATTGTATGTGCTTTAATTTTGGCCCTCTTATGAGATATTCAAACAAGTGAAAAGTCAGGTTGCAAGATGCGCACGTAAGCACTCATGATTTGAAATTTACCCATATCTGCTTTGACGATTTGGATGTTTTGAAGTTGAAGTATACGATTTTTGATGGTCTAGTCAAACAGCATCCCGAAATACGTTATCTCCGATACCCAAGCGTTGAATTTTTTTCATCTAATAATAATAATAATAATAATAATAATATGATACTTGAGTGATGTGGAAAATGTACCGTCACTACTTAAGAGGGCGTTTTAACAGGTGGAAAAATTATTATCATATTTGGTATAATTTTTTACTTAGGACGAAAGTTTTGATCAATGATAATCACATTTGGAAACTAAATCCTACCTAAGGTGGGAGGTAGGGTTCTTTTTCCCAGGAAATCTATCAAATTTATTCAATTAATTCAATTATGCATTTATCATTTTTGGCGGGTCAAAAGTCTTTTATAAATATAAGAAATTTGTCCATCCACTATTACACATTGTTTACCAAAGAAATTTTAGTTTAGATACGTAGTTAAAGGTTTTCGTAATCTAATTTACAATATATAAATAATACTTAGGTGATTTCAGCTTTGCCGAACTATTCTTAAGCCCACAAGACCTGCCCTAGAACCACCACAAAGGTAAATCACGAGTCGTGCTCGTGCAATCAGCACACCAGTCAAACTAAACCCTAGTCTTCATATGTGCACAAGAGATCCAATCAAAACTTTCCCTTCCTTCATTCTGGTCCTTTTTCCATTCATGTCTCCAGTGAGATTTGACGTCCATAATGTTGCTTTCAATAGTGACTTCAAGTCACGCGACGAACCATTACGCTAAGTCTCGGGGGCGAGAGGTATATATGTTTGACGCAAGATTTCTAAGGTGAAAGGAAAAGAAAACGAATTATTTTTTTAAAATTAATGATAAGTAGAAAGAGCATGAAAATGGGAGTACTATGTTATGTAGTGCAGTCAAATAATACACTACTGAAAATTATGGAATTTTCGACCACCTGAAAGCGATCTTAAATCAAAGCCTTATTCCGACCACTTTTGGTATCCAGAAAAACCTTTGTTGCTATTTCCGGCCACTTTTTGGACTTTTTGGTATTAACTTAATTTAAGATCATTTTCAGGTGGTCGGGAATTTCATAATTTCCGGTAGTGATAATAAGAAATTTTCAAAATAATACTATATAATAATAAGAATAGTAACAGGTCCGTATTACTTTTGCAGTACATTCAAATACATTTCTTGTGTGTGTTTGAAAGTATACCCTCTTGTTTTTGTATGTACTAGGGAGTAGGGAGCAAGGTGTATAAATGCAGGAGAGAAGAAGGTACAACAAGAAAGGGGGGAAATAATAATATTATAATAATGTTCCATACTGATACTGTAAAAGTTTGTTAAAAAAAAATATATGAGTTAATACATCTGGGGTCCTCCGAGTATATTAATTTTGTCACATTTAATTTTAAATTTTTAAATTGATCACTCGTGGTCATTCAAATTTCAAATTATTATCATTCGTGGTCTAAGTTAACCACCCATGATTTTTTTACTGTCAAATTTTAACCACCTATAATCCTCCCAAAAGGACCATGACTGGTTAAATTTTGAAAGTTGAATCATAGGTGATAAACTTAGACCACAGATGGTATCAATTGTAATTTAAAGAACCATAGATTGTCGATTTGAAAATTTAAAAGACTAAACGTGACAAAATCACTATATTCGGAAGTTAACATATGTCATTTACTCAAAATCTATATCTATATCTATATATCTATATATATCTATATATATATATATCTATACTATATATAATAAAAAAATCCTTGAATTTTAATTTCCCGCCCAATTCCTAAAAAATCTCTCTTCCAAATAAAATATATTAATTCCTACTTTCCCATTCGTATAATAATTCTGGGTAAAAATTCTATTCTAAAATTTTAAAATAGTGTAATGCAATATCCTTTGTACATCTATACTTCTATACTATATATAATAACAAAATCCTGGAATTTTACTTGCCCGCCCAATTCCTAAAAAATCTCTCTTCCCAATAAAATATATTGATTCCTACTTTCCCATTCGTATAATAATTCTGGGTAAATATTCTATTCTAAAATTTTAAAATAGTGTAATACAATATCCTTTGTACATCTATACTATATATAATAACAAAATCCTGGAATTTTACTTTTCCCACCCAATTCCTAAAAAATCTCTCTTCCGAATAAAATATATTGATTGCTACTTTCCCATTCGTACAATAATTCTGGGTAAAAATTCTATTCTAAAATTTTAAAATAGTGTAATACAATTCCCTTTGTACATCTATACTATATATAATAACAAAATTCTTGAATTTTAATTTCCCGCCCAATTCCTAAAAAATCTCTCTTCCCAATAAAATATATTGATTCC